ACAAGTGTGGTGATTTCTGTAAGAGTAACTTAACAGATGCAGTTAACGTGACACTTAAAATACTTGCTAGAGAGCAAATCACCAAGGCAGTTGGAGTATTTTGTTGCTTTAGCAAACCTTTTTATTACACTGTGACTTTTAAAAAGTTGAGGTAGTTCATTTTTAGGCATTTCTAGTGAATTCCTTCATGGAAAATAAACTTTTTGGACAATTTATCCCATGATAAATTGTAGCATGCTTTCATTAAATGGAATGTCAAGGCCAGTTGCGAAGTATTTTTTAAAAAATTAGTAAGAAGGCTTAGCCTTATTTTCCACCTAGGACAAAACTCATGCTTACAAAGTCTTTGAAAATAAGAGCCTTTCCAGAAAGATCGACGTGTGGTGTTAACAAGGTAAAGATCACGCTACCAGCAGATACAATTATTGGGATGATCGTCGCTGTGCTACGGCACGCCATAAAACTCACTAGGTGGAGCTCTAAGGTACCAGGTAATCCCTCTGGGGACCTACATGGAAGAAACGCTCGGTGTATCCATGGGAAGACTCGAGCATGGAATTCACAACTGCACCTCAGCGTGTTCACACAAAAATAAGGGACTGGAATTAAAATAATAATACCCCTGCCCCACCCCTAAAGGATTAAGGACGGGAATGCCCAAAGCAGAGGTGTAAACATTCAGAAAGCAAACAGCTTTTGCGCCGTGCACTAGTTATTTAGTTTTATGAAGGAAAAAGATAGTGGCGTGTACTTTTACTAACCAAGCAGCTGGGCTGAGCAACTTTTCTTACGTTTCCTTCCCATCTCTTCAGGCTTAAAGACATTTAATAGTGCTGCTCTCTGGGTAAGCGTATTGTACTGAAACATGCATACATTTGGGAGGAACTTGACAAAAAGAGGCATCTAAGGCTACGGCTGTGTGTATTTATTATCTGGATGACAAGGGGATGTTGCACACAACGGACAGCCTCGCTGGGGAATTAGGAGGACTTGGAACCTAAAGCAGCAAAGCATTTCAGTAGCGGGGGGTCTATGAAAGAAACAAGGTGTAAAGCGAATAGGGGTGCAAAGTCATAACGAGGGATGTCTGCAAGCTATTTTGGTCCTTTAAAAACAATCCGTCTGGAAGACTTCAGGGTCACGAAACTTGCCTCTGAGGGGGCAAATTTCTCATGTTTGGGTTTAAAACGGAAGGATTTTCTCCTTCGGGGTGGTGGTGACAATGACACTCGTAAACACATGTCTGCAGCAGGGGAAGTTACAGCTTCCCTGATGATTTTGGGGAGAGCGCCTGACCCGGGCCGGGCCGGGGCTGCTGGGGTCACCTGCAGAGCCGCGGTTGTCTCGAGTGCAGCGGGGCTTGGAGGAGCAGGACTAGGGGAAGGCTGGCCGGGGTGGTCGGCTGGAGGGGGGCGAGCGCCTCTGCAGCAAAGCCCTCAAAACGCTGGAGAAAGCCAGCGGCTGGTAATGACCCGAGGGAAGTGGGAAAGGCAGCGCTAGGAGTTAGGCGAGGCTAAGAGGAAGGCGGGGGGG